TATAGTCAAATTTTTTACTTTACTTCCGGTTTAAACGGGAAATTGATTCTCACTTCCGGTTGAACTACTTCCGGTGTAATTAATTTAGCGCGACGAAACTTATATGAATCGATAGTCAAAGTTATGACCAAAAAACGAAGAAGATAAAATCCGGTCCGAAGGTGATACTTTGGTCGCCATTTTGATTTTTCTGAAATGCGTCAGAATCTATTCGGAGATAACGGCTTATCCGATTTTGTTGATTTTGGTGTCAAATGAAAGAAAATGAAAATTAAAAAAAAAACTGTTGGAGCCGATTTTTGAATTTCGCTTTTGCTTTTTTGCAATATCCGATTGGATTTTTTCGAAGTTTGAAGGCTCATATCTCATGACCTTTACCGTTGATGACCTTGACCTTCATTGGGTGATACTTTCATATTATACTTCTACTTCCGGTTGTATGGCTGTCTGAAAACAGCCAAATTCGCAACTTTGGACTGCTCTAGCACGTGACCTAATTAACCTAGAGGGTTAATTGTTTCGGATTCTTAATGAGCTCTTCATACTCTTTCTAACGATATATAACATAAGTTCTTTAAAGCAAAATTGAAATTCGTACTTTTTTGAAATTTGAGTGTTTTTTTACAATGTTTGTGTCTCTTTGAGCTTGGTGTATGTATATCTTGTGACCTATTTGATGTAGAACCTTGATATTTGGAATACAACTAGACATTTTGAATATGAATTCACCTATGACCAAAAAATTGAGGTGGGCGTGGAACAGTTGGGTTGAATTACTAATTGTTTACATTTTGGGGCAGGGGCATAACATAGGATACGTTTCTTCAAGAAGGGACTTTGCACACAATTATCTCATCCTTTTGGCCAGTTTGTATTAACAACTCAGTTGTTTTAGCTTCATAGTTCCAAAAAAGGAACAGGTTTTAACATTTGGATATTTTCATTTTTCGATTTTGACCTTTGTTGACTTTTGTTGGCCTATATCTTTTGAACTGTATGATGTAAAAGATTGAAATTTGAAACACAACATAACATCTTAAATATCAATCAACCTATGCAAAAACAATTGAAATGGGCGTGGCACATCCGGGTTAATTTACTCATTTATAACATTTTTAGCCAGGGGCATAACTCGCAAAGTATACATTTGTTCAAAATGGAACTTTGCATGCAATTATTTCATGTTTTGAGCCACATTGTTTTTAAAGTTCGGTTGTTTCCGCTTCATAGTTCAAAAAAGGGAACGGGTTTTGGAATTTCAAAATTTTCAATTTTTGACCTTGACCTTTGTTGACCTTGACCTTTGTATGATCAAACATCACTGGCATTGGCTATCTATTTATACTTTTATATTTGCTGTCCTGTGTCAACTTCCGGTTTTATAGCCGTAGGCAATTTGAAATTTTGATGACGTATATCTCTTGATCTTGACCTTTTTAGACCTTCTACTTTACAAGATCAAAGGTCACTGACCTTGGTTATCAGCTGATACTTTCATATGTGAGGTCTGTCGTCTACTTCCGGTATTAGAAGTTTTTTTTTAAATTTTCTTAACTTTAGACTGTTCTTGCACTTGAAATAATTATCCCTGAAGGTTGATTTTTTCGGGGGCTTTTGCAATTTGCTACATTTGCAAAGTTCCACTCTGTGCCACGTGTGGCTCTAGTTTTTATTTGATTTTCACAAAACTTGGTAGATGGGTTAAGCCCAAATTATCAATTATGATTGCAAAAAAAACATTTTTCGAAAATTTACGGGAAATGCCGGAAATGGCCGAAAATCACAAAATCAGAGTTTTCGGACTATGTTTTGCAAACACTTGCAAATTTGTAATTTTTGATTTATATATCCAAGAGGATTACATTTTTGGGATTCTTAATGTGATTCTCATGCTATTTTCAGTGATATTATGATCGTTTTTTTTAAAGCAAAATTGAAATTCGTGATTTTTTCTAATTTGGGTGTGTTTTTTTTTTTACAATGTATGTGTCTGTTTGAGCTTGGTGTATGTATATCTTTAATATCATAATATGACCTATTTGATGTAGAACCTTGAAATTTGGAACACAACTTGACATTTTGAATATGAATTCACCTATGACAAAAAAGTTGAGGTGGGTCTTGCACATACTAATTGTTTACATTTTGGTGCATGGGCATAACTCGCATAGGATACATTTCTTCTAAAAGGGGACTTTGCACCCAATTTGACCAGTTTTTGTAAACAGCTCGGTTGTTTCAGTTTTATAGTTCTAAAAAGGGTTTTAAAATTTCAATATTTTCAATTTTGAGCTTTGTTGACATATCTTTTGACCTGTATGATGTAGAAGCTTGAAATTTGGAACACAACATAACATTTAGAATATCAATTAACATATGCCAATAAGATGAGTTCGGCGTGGCTCATCCAGGTTAAATTACTCATTATTGACATTTTTGGGGGTATAAACTAAGATGTGTATCAACCTCAACAACAGTACACAGGCCGACCGAGGTTATTAATTCTAGTAGAGCAATTATAATATATTATTTCTTATAGTTTTAAAGTGAAAGAAATTGAAGATTTATTTGAAGTAAGTCACTGTACAGAAGGTATAGAAGGTTAATTTTGTCCGATTCTTCATGCTCTTTCGAGTGATATATAACAATTGTTTTTTAATGAAAAATAAAAATCCGTGTGTTTTTTTTTAATTTGAGTGTTTTTTTTTACAATATTTTTGCATCTTTGAGCTTGGTGTATATAAATCTTATGACCTATTTGATGTAGAAGCTTGAAATTTGAAAGACCACTAGACAATTTGGATATGAATTAACCCTTGACATAACATTGAGGTGGGCGTGGCACTTCCAGGTTACATTACTAATTGATTACATTTTGGGGCAGGGGCATAACTCGCTTGGGATACATTTGTTCAAAAAGGGACGTCGCATAAAATTAACTCATCCATTTGGCCAGTTTGTGTGAAAAGCTCAGGTGTTTCTGTCTGATAGTTTTAGAATTTCCATATTTTCAATTTTTGACATTGACCTTTGTTGACCTTAACTTTTATGGGGTCATAGGTCATTGTCCCACGTAAGCTTCCGTTTTTGTAGCCGTATGCATTTTTAAAATTTGATGAGTTATATCTCGTGACCTTGACCTTTTTTGATTTTGCCCTTTACAAGTTGACAGATCAATGACTTTGGCTATTCGCTGATACTTTCACTTCTGACTTTATGGAACTATCTATCCAATCTTTTTTTTGGATAAAAATATTCCAATTAGTTAAAATACATTCGTAAAAACTTTTGGAATTTTAGAAAATGATACAAATATTTCAAAACCGTTATGGCATTATATGGCATTATATTAATCACATGATCATTCTAACAAAATATTTTATACATAAAACTAAACTCCAAAAATCTGAGTATCTCAAAATCTTCAAGTATCTTACAATATACTTTATTCTTAGAGAAAATAGCTCATACTGAGAAGTGACAAAAAATGGTCTTTTTTGAATTAACTTACTATTAGAGATCTCTTATATTTAAGGATATAGAAAATAATTTTTTCAACATTTAGATACTTGTCTCTGTCACATAATCCTATTATAAAATGTGTACAACAATCATTTTAGTGATGTATTACCTATTATATGAATATCAAGGTAAAGTGTATGTTACAATGTGTTTGTTTTGTGATGTAAGAAATGAAAAAAAAATTGTCATTCTACAAAATCTGTACCCTCATTATCTTCATTTCGTACCTTTGCCGTGTATACAAATTCCTAAACGTTGAGCCGCCATCTTGAAAAATGCAAAAAAAAAAACCTAAAAATTTAATGTAGACTATAATATTAATCCAATTGTTCTCAAATGGGAAAAATACGAGGTCCTCTAGAAGCCTTTTTTATCATTTCGACATTTTCATTGCACAATTTCTTATCAAAGTTTATTCCTACCACGCCGCATTGCGATAAGTAGAAGTAGTGATTACTTTTGATCATGATCTTCCACAACTCCCATCTTTCTACCTCTGAAAAAGGGTAATTTGCATATTTTTCCAATCCTCAGAGGAGTATATCTTGGATTATATGAACTTGGGCCTTTTCAACATAAAGTTTGATTTTATTTTATTGAGCTTGTCATAAGCTTTTTAACAGGGTCCTTCTTTTAGTTAAAATATGCATCATTGAATATAGTTGACTTTCTTTTATGGACTCTTGATTGAGTTTTAATTAGCGGAAAAATCGAACAGATTCATAATGCCCAATTTTACAGCTATTGATAAATATATTAAGATTTATACATAATCAAAATTAAGGGAAGAATTAAAAAAAATACTATTAATTAAGAACAGATTATGTAGAGTCTATGCAACCTTTTCAGAAGGTCATAGAGGGTAAATGTGACAATAGATGATTTTAATATTTATGCAGTCTCTTGTGTAAGTTCTAATTAACTTGGTAGTTGGTAGACAAATTCGAACAGAATTATTATGTGTAAATTCACAGCTTTACATAGATATATAACAAAAATATGCATAAATAAATTTTGGACAATATATGTAAAATAAAAAATGCTAGTAGTATAAGAGTTTATAGATAGGGGGCACTTTTTATAATTTTTAAAATTATAAAAACCGCCCTCTATCTATAAACTCTTACACTACTATTTTTCCTGCGTTTACCAACCCCCAAGCGCCCCAGGCGTATAATGTCTTCATATTAACTCATTTAAAAACAGAATGGGTTAAATTTTAAAACACGAACAACACAAATTCGAAATTTCTTCTCAGCTCTATCATCTCTCATCCCAAAAGGAGCAAACTTTGTCTCAAACAACAAATCCCTCATTTCATCAGAAACGCAAGCTATTGGATCTGTAGCAAAAGCAGGAGTAAATATAAGCGAAGCAGTCAAATCTAACGAGTTGAAAGAATTACAACATATTAAAGGAATGCGAAATAAAAGATTAGAAAACAAAAAAGGCAATGGTTTTATAATTATTGGATAAAAATGTTTATGATAATTGCTCAAACTCCTAAAACTTATTTCGGTTCTGACATTCAAAAATCATTAGGTTCTCTTCCTGGATTTCCATGGGCAAAATACCCCGGAGAAAAACATCTTCTGGGTCATAATTATACTGGTCCGGGTACAAGGTTAGATCTACGATTAGACGAAAACGATAAACCAAAACCAGGTGTAAAACCAGTCAATAGAGTTGACGCTGCTGCACTTAAACACGACATACTATACAGAAATAAAGACATAACATCCAAACACGAAGCAGACAAACAAATGATAACCGAACTTGAAAATATTCCAAATCCAACTTTTAAAGAGAGAATGCAAAGAGCATTAATCATTAAACTATTGAAAGCAAAGATGAAAATGGGTATGGGAATAGCAGATGAAATACACAAAGAATTTAGAAAAAACAAACATTTTTTAACTGTTTAATGGGAGGTAACACTGTTTTTTGTTTACTTCAAAGTAAAATACCAACCAGTTTATACACGGTTAGTTTCTAGAGTATTATTGATTTAATAATTACCTTTAACGCCCGGTAACAATCTGTCGTCTATTGCTGACTGGATATACGTCACTAAGTAACAGATGGTTATATTAACATATAACATTCCGCCCATGCCACGTCAGCATAGACAGACTAAACTCTCAACTATTAACACTGTCTCAATTTTGTTACGCTGGAAGATTAGGAATTTAATCATACAAAATCAAAGTATGTTCTTTGTTTAATTTAATCATAAGACGACAGGGTGGAATTAAGATTATTTGTTGTTTTTTAAAATATCAATTTTGTTTTATTCCAGACACAAGTTTAATAGATGCCAACATTTCATATCACGAATAATATTGAAACCATCACAGACAGTGGAGGATACAAAGAGGCCAAAAATTTTGCCAAACTCTGTGTCAAATATCCGAGGTTTCAAAATTGTTGATACAGATTTCGAAAATAGAACAAGTGTGAAGAACAAGCGTTTTGGAAAACGATATAATTCATGTGACGTATATATCTAGCGATTCTATAGGAGCGGTCGTGACCTTTGAACTATGACTGCCAATAGTGTAAGAGGGGAGATAACTCTGAAGTATATCTAGCGATTCTATAGGAGCGGTCTCGAGGTGAACATTACCAATCCCAGTAGAAGTGTATATCAATATACATGTAATTGTTTATGTTTTAAATTTCCTTGTATTTATTAAAACTACTTTCTTTAAAAATGGCAGAAAAAAATTACAGATTAGATCCGATCTTTCAATTATATGATCCTATTCGTTATTCGTTTAATAAGAAAAAGGAGGATTGCATTATTATATCACCAACCGTTGGCTCTAGGTCTCAACTAAATGATGGGGGTAGGGTCACTTTCGAGATTAATTCATTATCGAATTGGTTGCTTCTGCCTGATGCCTATTTCAGATGCGATTTCAAAATTCAAGACGGAACTCCCAATGAGAATTGTGTACCACAAACCAACACAACGTTAGAAAACAATTTCTTCCCCCCATCTTTATTTACTGAAATGGTTTTGGAAGCTGGTTCAAATCCCATAGAAACCAATAAACGCCCTGGGGATTTGACACAATGTTGAAAACAGTTCTATATCCCAAAAACTACGGTTCAGTCTCAGGCTGGATACCCGATGTTGGTGATGGAAGATAGAATGAGAGCTTTTGCTCCAAACACAATAGAAAGAGTAGGACGAGCAGGTAATCATGGATTTGAAAAACGAGTACTTCAGTACAATAATGTTGTTGAGAATAATAGGTTTGGTAATTACGTAAATTGGAAGTTATATCCTTTATTCGGTCTGTTGGAACACAGAAAAGTTTTCATAGGGTTACCATATAAAATTCATGTACAAAGAGAAATCAATGATGATAAGATATTCTTTGGAGAGAATGATTCAGATGCAAATTAGAAATAACGAATCTTCAACTTTACATACCAGTAATAACACCTTCGGTTGAAGACGAAACGAGAATATTCAACTCATTAACTAAAGATATTGAAATAGCTTTTCTTCGTCGTAACACAATAGGTTGAATCCACTGGAGAATCCACTACATGGCCAATCACTAACACTATTAAACCAGCAAGATATTTAATGGTTGGCTTCAAGAACTTACCAGATTTTCAAACGAATAACAATAATATCTTTAGAGTAGTAATGAACCAAACTCAAGATCCTATAATCCGTAAAGTTCAAGTAAGATTAAACAACGATACGCATCCTAATCAACCTTTAACAATTAATCGAACCACAAAGGATTATAATGAATTGTATAGAAACTATAAAAATATGTGTGAATTATTTGGAAATTCACCCCAGTTTGAATATGTAGATTTTGCAATTAATCACCCAATCTTCTGTTTGATCTATCAGCTCATCAAGAAAATCTTTTCAAAACAGGAGTAAATATAAATATTCATATTGAAAAACACAAGGAGATGTAACAGGTTATTGTTTATTATTGGAAGAAGCAAAACATTTAATTAAAATATCCGACAGACGGATGATTCGTATAGAATAATCATTTAAATTACTTTTTTAAAAATGAAGCCGGAAACTTTAGTAAAAAAAAAATAGAAGCTATCGAAAAGGATTCACCTACTACAATAACTTACAATGGTAAAAAGGATTAAAATATCTAAAAACATTATTGATAAATATAAACATTGTAAAGTCCGTGATGATATAGATTTGGAAAGAATTGACAAGAGTGTAAAGGAAGGTGGATTTTTACCTTTCCTACCTTTGATATTTGCTTGTCTGGTCTCGGCTTGTCTGGTCAAACATAAGGGTAATGCCATAGTTTTTAAAAACAATTCAAATTTAATCATTCAGAAATATTTCCTAGTAACCCAATGCTAATGTGTATTTGTGGAAGCTCAGGTTTTGGGAAAACTTATTTGACCTTTAACATGTTAACAACATCAAAACTTTTAGATTTCGATTCATTATATATCTACACAACACCAGAGCAATCATATTATCAATTCCTAAAAGCTTTAGAATATATACCAAAGAAAGACGTTCAAGACATATTTAAATATTATGAAGACAACGATAATATAGAAATAAAAGATATCTTAGATACATATATAAAAGAAAAGAATCCATCTTTCAAGCCAACGAACATAAAAGTTTTTCTTACTAAAAATGTTAATGATTTAGATTTGTCTAAAATTGATAGCGAGCGAAAGAACTTAATAGTGTCTTAAAGTCTTTGAATGGCATTTAGCAATTGTGAGTACGATATATAGACACAGCTTTATGGAACAACAATCACTGGTTAAAGTTTTATGCAACGTTTCGACGTGTTTCCCCCGTCGTCCTCAGGCACATAATGAGAAGAAGTGATGGGCAAACTATATATACATTAATGCTTATTATTAAGAACACACAAGAGAAAATGGTTTATTGATACATTACATTAAATTTTAACAGGTACAATAAGAGGTATATAATTCTTAAAATAACATACAGGCTGATTAAGTAAAATAATTGAAGTAAAGTAAATGAATTAAAAAGATTAATTGAAGATTAAATAAACAACTATTGCTGGTATTGGAGTCTTTTATTAATAGAAATTACATTGTTCATATAACTAACTATGCTTAAAGTTGGAAATTGTTTTTGAATATGAATAATTACAAGTTGATAAGTTTATCATATGCATGCGATAAACGAACACCTTCATCTCTGTTAAGGTCAGGCTGATATCTTCTGATGTGGATAGCTTCATGAAGTCTCCTGGTTTTATCTATGTGCTTATTGATTGTCAGTATGTTGGTGTTGGTCAAAGTTGACTTTATGTCCTGTTTTCCTTCCCATAGCAAGATGTTCAGCCACAGCAGATGTTCCTTCATTGCCGGGCTTGTCTTGATGGTCTTTGAGTCGAACATCAAGGGGTCTCTTTGTTTCCCCTATATACGAGCTTCCACAGGAGCACTCAACTTGGTAGACATATCCCTTAGGTTTTTGGTTGTTGGAGGGATTCAATTTACCACTGGCTCTGAGCAAATCTTTAAGCGTTGAGTTGCCAGAGAACACTGTTTCAATGCCGACTGACTTTTTCAGGATCTTCTTGATTTGGTATGATGCCTTTCCGATGAATGGGATAACTAAGCGGGTTGATGGTCTGTTGGGATTAGGCTGTTGGTTGGTTGGTTTTGCCATTAATACGGATCGAAAAGCTTGATGTACAAAGGCTGGAGGGTAGTTGTTGTGCAAGCAGAATACTTTCTTGATGTGTTGTAATTCTTGTTGAAAGTATTCTGGGTCACAAATCCTTTTTGCTCTTCTGACCAGCGCTGTGATGGCTGCCCTTTTGACATGTTGAGGGGTGTTGGAATGGTAGTTCACATACTGATCTGTATGTGTAGGTTTCCTATACACGCATGTCTTCAACTGACCGCCTAACCGCTTAATTCTCACATCCAGAAAGGGTATAAAGTCGTCTTCTTCTGCTTCCATGGTGAAATTGATCCTCTTATGCTGAGCATTAAGATGCTGGAGTAGAGCTGATGGGTCATCTTCAGCTCTAAGCATGACAAAGGTGTCATCAACTTTCCGGAACCAGCAGATTGGTGAGATCGGAGAGTTTTCCATGGTCTTTTCCTCAAAGGCTGTCATATAGATTTCAGTAATCAATGGTGACAAGGGGCTTCCCATAGGTAGACCGTGGATTTGTTCATAGATCTCATCTCCCCATGTGAAGTAGGTAGAGGACATACACATCTGAATGAGATCGACGATGCTGTCTGTAGTAAAGTGTAGTATCAAGTGGGGTCTCTAATTTAGATATCTTATCTCTTATGATACTCAACACATCTTTACATGGGACATTGGTGAATAAGTCGACAACATCATATGAGTACATCTTCCCTGTGATCTGCAGTTCTTTCAATTTGGTGACAAATTCTTCTGAGTCTTTAATGAATGAGTCAGCTGTTTTCCCCAAAGGTGCCAAGATTCTGCTAAGATGTTGGGCGATGTTATAGAAGACAGAATCCCGAGAGCATATGAGTAGCCG